CCCCCCCCCTTTGTATTTTTTTGTGTGGCCTGCTTATTAAAATTCCTTATTGTCTGTTCGACCGTTATCCCAGTTTGCGAAAAGTTGAATATAAAAGTGTGATGGAATCGTTTACATTCCAAAATCTCATGCCATTTTGTTCCAGGCATATTTTATGAGTTATAATAAAAATCTGATACATCGCTACACTCATATTGTGTGAAGAGATTTTTGTATTGCATGCATCCCTTTAGATTTATGGGAATGACGAAAAAAACCCTTGAAGCACGGATTTTATTTTATTTTATTATCTAACCTATTTATATATTTGCACCAATTTGTTACACGCTTTAAACACTTTGTAAAGTCACCCCTAAGACAGACAGAAAAAAATCAGTAAAAATAGATTTATAGATCTATTTTACTTAGATTACTAAGTATTTTCGCCGAGGGCTGGTCATTATTTATTACGCATTGTTGTGTTCGCACGTCTTTAGTTGTTAGAATAAAGTAATTTTAATAGTTGTGAAAAAAGTAATTTTCATTTTACATTGATTTTAGGTTTCAATAGGCCTACAATTGATTTTATAGACTAAATAAAAACAGCATGTCCACCAGATGTCAGTAGTGCACTGTGGACGCAAGCGAAAAATAACGTGGCCTGTGCATTTTTTCGAATTGCTTTAGTAAATGTTTCAAGTTTATTTGTTACGCCTACATCAATTATATCATACATAACTGTTTATCTATGAACATTGTTTTATCACTAACATCAGGCGTGAGTTTAGAGCCTGAGGAAGTTTTTGTGTGCGATACAAATAGCCTACATGAGTTTTCAGGAGCAATTTCCTCTTAAGAAACGGATAGCAGTATGTATTTGTGTACAGTACAGACAAGCGCTTTCTCTCATCGTCTTATCAGCTGAGGGAACACGTCGAGAGTTAGTTAGTGGGTCAGTAGGCTGGAGGAGAGTAACACAGGGTTACTGGCCTTTCGGGACAAAAAGAGTGACCTCGATTTTAACTAGATGTTTACATTTTCAGATTAAAATGTGAGGGGGTACTTGCCTGTGCAAAACGAAAATGTAATTGAATTATTTTCTTCATCACCCCATTAAATTCACAAGAGAATGATCTGGTATACGCTGCTATACATAAAGCTTACGTATGCAAAATATTACCAGATGTTTGCAGAATGTACTGTATATGGGTGAGTCTTAGACTATGGGCACTTTTATGTTCTTTGGTCATATTTATAAAAATACATATACTTTTGGACAAATTCCTCTTTCTTAGTCAAACTAGCAATAAAACCACCTTTTTACTACCTTTCTATTATGATTTTTTCATACTTTTCAACCTCCTTATAGGTGTCAAAATCACTGTTTTCTCCTTGTCGCACACCCAGACTTTTAAACTTCAACAATGAAAATACAGTTTAAAAATATGACTTATCTGGTAACTATTAATGTACCTGAATTAAGCACTAGTAAAATAATTAAAATACATAATAGTATTTAATGTGAGACCACGATATATTTCTATACAAAATATAGCTGTCGCACAATATTGGTGTCATTTCCACCACAACACTGTAATGTCCCTTTAAAAAGTTTGTGTGAAAGATTGTTCAGGTGGTTTCTATGGAAATGTTCAGTAACATCAGAGCACATGTTGGACATGGAGGGAATTTAAATTTTCATCTACAACAAATGAAGAAAAATCAAGGTAAATATTGCTTGATCAGTTAATATATTTATTGTACGTCATTTCCAAACATGCTGTACCTTCAAGGGTGTTTTTAAAAAGCTAAACATTTTAAGTTAAATAAGAGTATTTTGCATACATGAAATGCTAAGTAAAAACTACAGAAATGTCATTTCCGCCACACTGTCCTCTGTGGTGGAAATGACAGCATATGGTGGAAATGGCATTTATGGTTACAAAGTACAATTGATATAGATTGCGAGAGTAGATTTGTGTAATACTTTTTGTATTATAATATATTACAATACTTTTTATATTTATATTATGATATT